TGAGTACAGCAACAAATCTGCATCAAATTTTGCGTTAATCTTGAACATTCCTCCATAGAAACGATTTGGATGACTCAGAAGACCTTCAGGGATGACGCAATGAGTGCAGTGCAAATAAAAGCATGGCACAAACGCTTCAAAGATGATCAAGAATCTGTTGAAAGTGATCCACGTCTGGAAGGCTTTCAACAAGCAGAACACCTGAGAATGTTGAACGTGTGCGGGTTAGGTTAAGAGACACTGGGAGAACTGTGGGAGGTCCCGAGGTGCCTACTTTGAAGGGGACTGAGGCGTCATTGTCCTATGTACAATGTTTCTTGTATCTTGTATCTTCTTCAGTAAATGTCTCTATTTTTCATAGTACATGGCTGGATACTTTCTGGACAGACCTCAGTATACAGATATATAAAAAGAGATTTATTATGAAGAAATGGCTCATGCAGTTGTGGAGGCTGAGAAGTCCCAGGATCTGCCATCTGCAAGCTGGAGGCCCAGGAAAGCTGGTGGTGTATTTCTAGTCCAAACCCAAAGGCCTGAGAACCAGAGGAGCCAATGGTGTAAGTCCCAGGCTGAATCCAAAGGCCTGAGAACCAGAAACTCTGATGTCTGAGGGCAGATGATGGATGCCTCAGCTCAAGCAGAGGGCAAATTTACCCTCCCTCTACCTTCTTAGTCTATTTAGGTCCTCAATAGATTGGTTGATGCCCACCTGCAGAAGGGCATCCTTTTCACTCAGTCTACAGATTCAAACGCTAATCTCTTGCAGAAACACCTTCGGAGACACACCCAGGAATAATATTTTACCAGCTAGCTGAGCATCCCATAGCCCAGTCATTTGGCACATAAAATTAACCATCACAGTGGGTATATCTCTTTGAGACACTGCTTTCAATTGTTTTGGGTATATACCCAAAATTGGATTTTCTGGATCACATGTTAATTCTATCTTTAATTTTTTGAGGAAACTCCATACTGTTTTCCATAATAGCTGCATCATTTACATTCCTGTCAACAGTGCACAAGGCTTCCAATTTCTCCATGTCTTCACCAACACTTGTTATTTTTCATTTTTATGATAGTAGACATCCGAATAACTGTGAAGTATATTCTTTACTTTTATATAACAATCATTGTCATACTGCTTTAATTTATGACAATTAGGAAGTTAATATTTATTTCTCTCAGTATATAACAAGTCTGTTTGTGTTGTATCTTTTTTTTTTTCTAAAGATGGGGTCTCGCTATGTTGCCCAGGCTGGAGTGCAGTGGCTATTCACAGATGCGTGCACCACTGATCAGAACAGGAGTTTTGATCTGCTCTTTTTCCAACCTGGGCTAGTTTTATCCTCCTTAGGCAACCCAGTGGTCCCCTGCTCCTGGAAGGTCACATATTGATGCTTAAACAGTGTGGACACCTGATTGGCAGAGCGTACTGCAGCCCAGAACTCCTGGACTCAAGTGATCCTCCTGCCTCCTGAGCAGCTGACTATAGACGCACCACCATGCCCAGCTGTGTTGTATCCTTATCGTGATGTGTTGAAAAAGTTTTTGATAGTTTTAATTATTTTTGCTCAGATTATGTAATAGCGCCAAGTTGGACATTTCTGAGAATAGACTGAAAAAAAAAAATCTAAATCTATTCTGTCAACTTAAGGGACTCATTTCCAGGAATAGTCCTTGTGTCTTATATAGAATACAGTACTTTAAAAATTCTTAGTCCCAAAATGTTCCTGAAATCTGCTGATTTATTGAGATTTATTCTTGTAATACTTACAACTATGGTCTATTAAATACTTGATTCCATTAAATGCTAATAACAGGTCTGACTTTTCAAGTCTCCCCAAGCTTGTCAATTTTGAATTACTACCACCTCTGCTTCAATGTGATTCTTTTAAACTGCAGAGTCAGCAGTTACAGTCTGCTGAGTAACGGATGCACTTAGCATACAGAACTGCTCAAAATTGTAGAACATTTAAGGCTCCTTATTTTAACCATTTCTTTGCTCAGGATTATGAGAGGTAAATTAGCTTCATAAATAACTTTGGGCAGGGTTGGCATTTGGGGGGTAAACATTTGTCTGCTTTTTGAATAATATCCCTGCGCCACCATTAACTTGAATTTATAGAGCCAATATAGCACAATGTTGAAGAACATGGACTTTGAAACCCACATGTGTGAATTCAAACCTTGGCTCTAAAAGCTGTGTGAGCTTGGGCAAGTTTCTTTTTTTTTTTCTTTGAGGCAGAGTCTCACTTTGTTGACCAGGCTAGAGTGAATGCCGTGGCATCAACCTAGCTCACAGCAACCTCAAACTCCTGGGCTTAAGCAATCCTCCTGCCTCAGCCTCCGGAGTAGCTGGGACTACAGCTATGTGCCACCATGCCCGGCTAATTTTTTCTATATATATTATATATATTTTTTCTCTCTCTCTATATATATATTAGTTGGCCAATTAATTTCTTTCTATTTATAGTAGAGACGGGGTCTCGCTCTTGCTCAGGCTGGTTTCGAACTCCTGACCTTGAGCAATCTGCCCACCTCAGCCTCCCAGAGAGCTAGGATTATAGGCGTGAGGCACCACGCCCGGCTGTTGGGCAAGTTTCTTAAGCTCTCTGTGCTTCAGTTTCTTCATCTGTAAAATCAGGATTGCTGTTAAATGAAATGGGTTACTGTGTAGGTTACTTTGAACAGTGTCTGGCCCACAATGAGATCAACTATACTCAGAATTATTAGCCAAGTGATTAGTTGGTTTCAGAAAACACTGTTGAAATAAGTCACTGGCTGGAGAACTTGTGTGTAAAGGAGGAACTCCAAGCTTGAACCTCAGTATCTAACAGACAAATTTCATTCAAGGGATAAAGCACCTGGAATTTCTAAGCACTGTGTCTGGTACGTGGATACTCTGTGGCTGTCAGTGGAATCTGAATAATTAACTGACACCATTTCAGTGTGGGAATGTTTAAACTCTTTACTCCGACTATGAAGATGGAAGGGCAAGCTACTGAACTCCAAGGAGCAAATAGTTTCTGAGAGGAAGAAATTTCTGGCCCAGGAAATAAGCATTTGGAAAGAAATGAAGGAGATCTCTAGTGTGTTCTGTGACTATTTTAGCTCTTGTGAGTAAAACTTTTCCCCAGGAAGAACTTTTGACTATTTAACAAAAGTTCTGGGCAAGGTGTTTCGTTTCTACCCCTGTCTGTGTGGTAGAGGCTGAGGTACAGTGGCTGGGTTTGGCCATTTCCTCTGTATCACCAGTCTCTTTCCCAGACCTCTTCAGGGGTGACTAGTTGACTAGTTACCTCTGAAGAGATATTTCAGTTTCCTTATGAAAGGACAAAGGGCTGTAAAGCTATTTTTGTGTGGGTAACAGGAGGCCTAGGGGATCCGTTGGAAAGTAAAAGCCCTCTTTTAATAGGTAGGACAAAAAAGCTTTGGAGTTGTAGACTGAGCTTCCAATCCAGGTTCTAAGACTTAGGAGTTGAGCGAGCTCAGGAAAGTGACTTAACCTCTTTGAATTTCATTTTCCCTATCTGTAAAATGGGGATAATATTCCCTTCCAAGGCTGTTGTGAGAATTAAATATAATCTATGTAAAATGCTAGGTACAAAGTAGACCCTCAATTAATAATAGCTTTCTTCATTATTAGCTGAAGACAGAGGGGTCTGACCCGATTCTAGTTTAGCTAGCTTAGTATTTCCTGTCTCAAGCACTAAGGTGAAAACTAGAAATATTAACTTTTTAAAAAATAAATAGAGATTCTATTCAGGGTCTCTTTGGATCTAAGAATAATGGAGGATCTAAATGTTTAGAAAACCATCAGTTATACCAAATGATTAGAACAATAGGGCCACTTGCTCACAATGAAACAAATAAGTTTTGATGTTAGCTGAGTAGTAGTATAAAGTATGATTTAGAGTCTAAGGGTGGAAACTATCTTCTTTAGGATTCCCGGAAACAGCTGCTCTGGTGTGGTGTACACAGGAAGTGCTGAAAAATGCTTGTTAAGTATTTTACTAAAGCTCACTTAATACATATTTATGCACACACATATTTTTGTAACTGCCTTTCTGTTTCTTTGAGAATGAACTTCAAAGAAAAAATGTAGTAGAGCAAAGCATTTGCTGGGATTGTCGAGGCTAGGTTGGAACATTGATTCATCATCATTGTTAAGAACTCCCAGTGCTTACAAAACAAGCATGCCTGGGTAGACAAAAAGATGGGAAGGAAGTAAACAACAATGTGAACTGTAGTTCTGTTAGGTTTTTTTTTTTTCATTAACTTAGGCTTTGTTTTTTACATTTTAATTTTTTTTCTACTTGTGTGTTAATTTTTCTTAATAAGTATATTACTTTTATAATTTTAAACCCTAATCTCTTCCCCCCAATGCTTGGACATACAAGCATGTATGTGCCACACATACACCATTTACAAGATGCCTTGTATGCCTGTGTGCCACACACACACCATTTACAAGATGCCTTCTCCAGCCTAATGAATCTTGTAAACTAAACTAAACTAAACTAAAACATTAAATATAGGACTGACAGACTAAATGAGAAGGTCTTCAATTCATGGTCTTCTTGGGACTTAAGCAGTTACATGTCAGAATAAGGTCTGAAGAGATTGGGTTCTTGTACCCTATGGATATACAAACTGACCTTACAATCCATCATTTTGCCCATAGTCTTGAATTTTGATATTGGTTAAATATTCCAGAAACTATGTGATAATATTAATATACAAAAGATTTGGATTTTTTAACATCAAAGTTACATAAGTGTTAGTGTAGAGTCAAATGGTTTTTATGTTCGCTATCTATTGGTGCATAACAAATTGCCCTAAAAATTCAGTGGCTTAAAACAATGATGAACATTTATTATCTCATAGTCTGTGGGTCAAGAATTTGGACAATCTTAGTTGGGTGGTTCTGGGGTCTCTTAGGGTTTGTAGTCAAGATGACGTTGTAGTCAAGATGTTGGCCAGAGCCGCCAGCATCTGAAGGCTTGACTGGAGCTGGAGGCTCTGCGTCCAAAGTGGCTCACTCTCACTGTTGGTAAGTCAAGGCTGGGTGTTGGTAGGAGGCCTCAGTTCCTCACCTCGTGGGCTTCTCTGTGGGTTGCTTGTGTGTCTTCATGACATGGCAGCTGGCCTCCTGCACACCAAGTGATCCAGGACAGATCCAAGGGCAGAAGCTGCAATGTCTTTTATGACCCAGCCTCAGGAGTCACATGCTGTCATTTCACAATGTTCTGTGGGTTCTATAAGTCAGTTATGTCAGTTATTCACTGTGGGAGGAGACTACACGGGAGTGCGAAGACCACCAGATGAGAATCACCTCACGGGCCAGCTGTGGAGGTTGCCACAATTCTCCAAAATTTGATCCAAAACATCACTTTTTTCACACCTGTGGAGTAGAAATGGGGGAGGGGCGCGTGGGGTATGTGAGGAGATTTCCTTCTCTTCTGAGATAACTATTTTCAACTTTTAGCTGATTCTCTTGGTATGCCTGCTTTTGATATATATTTTTCTCTTTCTTTCACTTTTTCTCTCCCCTTGCTCCAGCCAGTGCACCTGTTTATAAAAATGCTCTCCCTGTTCTTCTTATTCCCATTCTAATCTGCTTGGAATTGTGCACAAATAAAAGTATCAGGTGCTAATGAGGGGACAGTGGTGCCCTTCTAGGAACGAAACATTTTAGTTTCTGGGAATGATTTCTCTGGTATGACATCTGAAAACAAAACACTTACACACTGGACAGTGTTCAAGGATATACAATTGGTTCATCACTGAAAGAACTAGAACTTATTATCTGTGTAATAAAGACATTTGAGCATCAAGTGCTATGTGACACATTGGGAAGTCAGACTGATTAGACATGATTTATTAGTCAGATTTGTTAGCTACCACTTAGGGAAGAACCAAAATGAATGTAGATATTTGTAAAGAGAGTGTGATGATTGAGTATTCGTAAAAAGAACACCTACTTTCTCTCTAGTAGATTCCTGTTTGCCACCTCTATGGGGCTGCACAAGCACGTGAAGACCATCAGACAAGAACCATCTTGGGGACCATCTTGGAGTCTGGCTGCTGCAGTTCTACAAAGTTTGATCCCAGAACATCTCTTGCACACCAGCAGTGTAGAAATGGTGCCCTGGAGGCCCCGCCCCACGTGATCCTGCTGTCCAGAATCCACAGAGACAGGGCCCCTCCTTGCTTCGGGTGCTGCCTGCGAATCAGTCAGCGAAGAGACACGGAAAGAAAGGGTGGACTCTGGGCACGTCTCTAGTCCCTGTATCTTCCTTTTACAGAGTCGCAGGCTCCTTCTAACTCTACCAGTCATTTTCCACTGTTTTCTGGGGCCAGCCCCCACCTCACAGTCACTTCCAAGTTTTTATTCTTTTAGCCTTACTGTGAACCAGGAAACAAAACAACCAAGCATATTTCCTTTAAGTCCAACATGGATATTAATACTATTAATAAAATGAACAATGTCGTACTGCTATGGCAGCAGTACATAAATACAGCCATGGGACACCTGGGATGCAGCTGCAGGTTGGAGGGAGTCCCATGCTGGGTAGGTCACAGGGAAAGAGTGGTGAGTTCCCCAGTTAAAGTGCTGACCTGCTACCGTTGGTTTCATGAGCACAGTCCCTCCAGGAGGACCTCACTGAGCATTCCAAGAAGGCCCCTGCCTGGTCCCCAGTGTGTGGGCAGGAGTAGGGGGATGACAAAAGTAGCCTTTGGACTCAGTCCAGCTCCTGCGTTTACCAGCTGTGTGACCTTGAGCAGATTAACCTCTCAAAGCCTTAACATGTCTTCTTTAAAATGGGAGATAACAGTACCTAGCACATGAGGCTGTTATAAAGATTACAGGGAAAAAATGTGTGTAAAGAGCTTACCACCCTGCCTGGCACACAATAAGCATTCAAATGCATATGGCCATTTGTTAAAGAACTCGTACATATACCTTGGATCCTTGCTGTATCTCACATCGGGCCTCCCCCCCTTTTTCTTTTTAAATCAATAAGACACTTTAAAATGAGAATTCTCACTTTTTTTCAGCAAGAGGGTTTTTTTTAAACCTCTTAGTTAAAGAACAGTGTTACAGCAGGAATGAGATTAGCACTTGGGAACAGCACTTAGGATATGATTATGGGACGGAATGCATTCATGTGTACATACATCGAAGACGCTGAGGCTTTGGAAGGTATCGGTTAATGTGGGACATGTCCCTTTAAGAGTTAAACTGTGACTGAGTTTAAAGGGCTGGAGGGGTCAGGAACCACTGTGAGGACATGGAGAATTTTAGGCAAGGACCACAAGAGGAAGGAAGATAATCATCTAAATAAGTTAGGCAGAAACTGAGGAGGGAATGAAGTTAGCTATTTATTAGTGGGACCTTTCAGGGAAAGAACCACACTCCCTAATGTAGCTTAAGCAAAAATGGGAGTTGATTAGCTCACATAAGTGAAATCCAGGCTGATCTTGGCTGCAGCAGGTGGATTCTGAGCTCAGATGGTGTGATCAGGGAACCCTTTGCCCTTTGCCCTTCCACGTGGTAGACAGGATCTTTCCAAATAGTGAGCGAGACAAAATCTTTTGCTCAGTAACCAGGGAAACCTTTCTGAGAACTCAGAAATTTCAGAGGTTCTGGCCAACCTGTGTCATCAATCCACCTTCCACAGTCACCGTGGCTTGGGAGACTGGGGTGCACGGGCAGCAATCAGCTGGCCAACCAAGTGGGATTTGCCCCACTATCTCCTCTCTTTT